TGGGGGCTGCCTCAGAGCTCTGTAGACTCGGGCCACAGCTGGACCCCTCGCGGCACCCAAAGTGGAGCCCGGCCTGGCCGACACAGCTCTGTGGGATGGGGTGCAACCGCCCTGCCCACAGGAGGATGCTGCCTGGCTGGGGCATGATGCCGGGCTTGGGAGGCTCCTGGCTCAGCCTTTGTGCACTGGGCACAGCACAAGTGGGGCGGAGTCCCCTGGGCCACGGCAGGAGCCCCTGGGGCTCTGGGAGCAGTTGCAAAAAGCCGCGCACTTACCTCCACTGGCCTGGCCCGTCCGGTCCCGAGCAACTCACAGCTCAGCTGCCACTTCTCCTCACCAGTGCTGGCTTGGCCGGGCCTGTCACATTCCGAGCAGCATGCAGGGAAGCAGTGACCCAGCCGGGTCAGCACCAGTGAGAAGCAGCAGCTGAGCCATGTGCTGCTTCCTCACATGCTGCTTGGCACAGGCTCAGCCACAGCTTTGCCTCTCTGATGCCAACCCGTCCCGAGCAGTGCGTGGAAGCGGCACGCGGCTCAGTCGCCACTTCTTCTCGCTAATGCTGACCAGTCCCAGGCCTGTCCCATCCCAAGCAGCACATGGCAAAGCTGGCCAAGCCACTGCTTCCCTGCATGCCGCTTGGGATATGACAGGCCCGGCCGAGTTGGCACCGGTGAGGAGGAGCAACGGCTGTGCTTAGGACCAGCCAGGACAGGCCAGCAGAGGTAAATAGAAACTGCGGCTTTGCTGCGTGCCTCTCAGGCCAGGCCGACATCGGGGAGGGGGAAGCTGCAGCTTAGCATAAAGGAACCAAAAGGACAGATCTAGCTGGTGCCCCAGGGCTCCACAAATATATATTCTAATGTTATAAAAGCCTCAGTCTGTCTGTCTGTCCATAATGCTTTATTCGCACTCTGATTGGCTGACAGAAACAACCAATCAGAGTGCGAATACAGCATTCAGACAGGAGGTGGTGGTGCAGTGGAGTGCTGCCATGATGGTGGGCACACAGGACACGAAGGCAGTGGCAGTGGCAACAGAGCGCTGGCCTCGCCCCTCATCCCCGCTCCCTGCAAGCAGCGAATACGGAAGAGGGGACCAAGGCCAGACCTGCTGGCCTCTCCCCCTCTCTCTCCCACGCTGCTTCCTCCCAACATGGGAGGTGGGGAGGGGAAGCAGTGAGCCAGGGCCGACGTGGCGGTAGCAGGGGGGAGGGGATGAGCAGGCCCAAGGGGAGGAGAAGCCAGCCCACTACGATGGCAGCGGGTGGGGTGCAGCAGATCTGGGCTGATGCAGGGAGGGGGGTGCTGGTGGGGGGATGGGAGGAGTGGGCCTGGCCCCAAAACAGTGGCAGGGAGGGCCTGGCCTGGCCCCGAAATGGAGGGTGGGGGGGCCAGGCCTGGCCCCGTGGGGGACAGGGGGAGCAGGCCCGGCCCCAAAGGTGTTGGGGATGCCAGATGCAGGCCTCTGTCCCCACCCGCACCCCCCACCTGTTATTCTTGTTGGGCAATTGGCGTGTGTGTGTGTGTGTGTACATAATTCATCCAGACAAGAGTCTGTCATGTTCCCAGGCCAAAGATTCTTTGTGGATTTGTTCTCTGGGTTCAAATTTACCATGTTATCTTCAAAATACTAAGGCTGAGCAGAGTTCAGTTTTATACATCCACCTTTTATTCACCAGAAACATCTTGTTTCATGCCTCATCAATATTAAACTAATATAAATGTAACCTTTGGACTCTCAGTGCTTATCATGAGTGAGTGAGTTCAAGAATGAAAATTTCCAGACTGCCATCACTTGCTCTATTTTTATCATCCTAAGCTGTAGACAAAATGAAATCACCAACAATTGTGGCCAGACTCTGGTACATATTAAAAAACAATACCTCCATTGATTTCCCCTCCCCCACAATTGTAGCAATCAAATTAACCCTGAATATGCCAGCGTATCTTCTCTTTAACTGTTACAGTCTTTGCAAATGGATGCATGAGTCAAAATGTCCCCAGTGCCACTTCTGCAAAATGCACAGTCCTCTCTGCCAGTTTGTCTCTTGTTTACAAACTCTTGTTGTGACTGCAAATATATATGCGTGTCAGCTGTGCCATTCCTGACTGCTTATTCTTTGATGATCTAGAGGTATGTTGCAAAAAGAAGGCCACACAGTCTAAAAGTCACTGTCTACAGAAATGTCCAATTGATTTTGTGGTCTAACTTTTGAGATGAAAGGCTTGGCTAGGAAAGGACATGAGTCATAAGTCTATTTGCCTCACCTACTTACTGTATGCTTATCTGAAACAGCTGGTGAAATTATTTGGAGTGTTAATGTCTTTAACAGATATAGTCCAGAGCTCCTTGGGAGCTAGCCAAAAGCAGGCTATATTTCATAGCTCTGATATTACAGGAGAGCTATATTTCACCAGGCCCAATCTAAGACATTAGAGCTGTGGAAAATAGCTCATTTCAAGTGTAAATAAACAAACAGACAGGTCCCAGAGGAATATTTTCTTTTTGACAACTGGCTTTGAGCACACTATGGATTCTCTAGCCCACCACTGCATTCCTGATAGACATCTTGAGGTATGTCTACATTCCTGAGAGCAAGACAGCGTAGAGATAGGTAAGTTCTCTCTAAGTGAGGTGGACCAGAAGCAGTTTATGCACAGTCGCATAGATCCACATATGCTAATTTATGCTGCTGGCCCAGCTATATTTAAGCTTCACAGCAATGTTTTGTGTGCACATAACCACGCAGATCAGCATTGTTGTACGAAGTTACAAAGAGTTGCCCTTTTCTGACACTTAACAAGGAGCTTTATTAAAATGAGGAAGACCCATATTATCTCTAATGGTAGTCTTCCTCTACTGATGCTTCACTGTAGAGCTGATGTATGGAACCTATCCCTGTGCCTCTTGCTATATGTCTAAAGCAATGGTACATACAGCCTGCCACGCACTTCAGATTTAAAGGAATGGTGCACATCTTCACCACCAGAGGTAATTGTGAAGAACTCCCCAGGTGTCAGGAGAACCAGCACAGGATCAGGGTTTCTCTTGCAGATGAGACATGCAAACTTGAGGTCCTGACTTCTCATAGTTTTTCAAGAGCTGAGAGCTCTTTGAGTGTGGTGAGGACCTTTGACCTCAAAGTTCTGTTCGTGTTTCCTAAGTTTTGGTTATATTGGGCCAAAGATGGAAGTGCCACTATCAGCATCACCACTCTCTGGGATGGATTCAGGTATGTTGACTTAAGTCAGGTGCATCATATATGCTTATCTTCAAAAACCACTAGGTAAGTGTCTCTGAAGTAAGACTAGGTATGGGGAATAGCAGGTGAGCAGTAGAGGTGGCTAATGGCAAGTGTAGACAGCTAAGGAATCATGTTGTGCCCTGGATCCTGACAGAGCTTAATTGTGATTCAGGCACCAAACTGTTTAGCACTGCAGAAGGGCACATGGGAAAACTTTAAATTAAAGAAACGAGCCCAGAAATATGTATGGAAGTTAGGTAGTGGCTGAGTTTAAGCCTGAGGCTACTTAGGTAGCCTGAGTTTTCACCCCCATGATTTTAGACATAGTTGTCTCAATTCTACTTAATTCCCACATTAGACACCTCGTTCCCTTTGCCATGGCCTTAGCTGTCAGAGTGAAATGCCTGTCAGTGTTTTAAGGGCTGTGCAGAGATGGCAGGGGATGCACCAAAGTATTCCAGAGTCCATGAAGCTTTTCTATTTCTTTACAATAGAAACTGATATTCAGTGAAAGTGACAGATCAAGCGTTCTTTTCAATCAAAGTAGCATGTATTATTGTTTAATGAAGCTTGTGACTCAAGGCTCTATAAAATATGCTTGGATTCTACATTAATAAGATCATTAATATAGCAATTAGCTGACTGTATACACAAGAGAAAGACTTAACTTTGGGACAATTTACAAGGTTCTGAAAAAGAAAGGGGAGGAATGTTGCTATAAACTGATGGAGTCCCATTACGGCAACTCTTAACGGTGCACTCACTACCAAATGTGTTATTTTCTAATTATTTTCCTATTATTCACACTGGAAAAATATTGCCATAAAAATATTACTTGTTCTAGTATATAATTTGGTTACTAAGGTTACGAGATGAGCTATGTTTGTAATGATTTGCAGTTCCCAAATACTTTCCTCCTTCAACAAGCTGACTAAAAAGAAGGATCTGACTTAATAAATTAACCATGGTAAATGTGGACTGACCTACAAATTAAGAAATGCAAGGTTAAATACAAACATTGATCAAAGGGAAAAGCTATAAATAGATAATGAACTGATGAAACAATGCCTGCAAAGCAAAGAGCTCACAGTGCTTTCACGCTTGCTCACAAATGCTGCTCGAGTGCTTCCTAAATGGAGGGCTGTGCTCACTGAGAGGCACGTACAGCTTGCCCGCATTCAAAGGAAATATCAGGCAGCCTTGTCATTTTACCTGGGTGGGTTGAGGAAAAACAGGCACACAAGTAACCTTCCAGACAGGAGCCAGGGAATTCAAAAGCTGATGTTGAGTTTTGACCAGAAGAGATAATATCATTCCATACAGTGAGATAGGGAGACTGACCTTTCTGCTTTGTGTTTTCTGTCCTGTCTCCACAGGCACTGACTGACTGGCTGTTTCATTAGCTGGGTGCTCTGTATGTACCAGGAGCTGGCAGTGCCTCGTGATGAACTGCGAAATCAAGTGGGACTTGTTTCTGCTTCTGTTAGCTTTGGGATCAGACCTTTTGCTTAGCAAGAAATTCTACAAAGATTGACGGGAATTTCCATAGCATTCTTCATTCCTAGTTAAGCCATTTCCTGCTCATTAAAACAGAACTTGTTTCAACCTCCAGTTTAACAGGTGAAATTGGAATACATAACTGTGGGTGCGACTGCCAGCATTTAAGTATCCAATTATCTGATTTGCAGAGGGCACTTATGAAGAAAACTTCTGTCACATCCTCAGATCAAGTAAATCAGTATAGTTCTATTGAGCTGAGATGTCTAAACAGTGCCTGCAGGTTCGTGCCTGCAGTTTTTGTGGCTGAAATTGTTGGAAGCTGTTTTTTCAAATCTGTCTCTAAATGATCACAGATCACATGAAGCATGATCCTCTTTCAGCATCACGGTCAGTTTTTTCAGGGCACGGAGGGTGCCTGCCTGTTCGTTTTGTACAGTACCTATTCCAATGGAGCCTTGATCCTATCCCTGTATGCTTTTGGAATATGGATGCTTGAAGATCACAGTGATGTCACACACATAGGGCTACCATATGAATCAACATACAGACTGGAGCAAATGTACTCTGCCGAGAATAATCCCTTTTTCATATAAATGCCTCTGGCCACTAGG